TTTTCCTATCTGCTTTCCCTGACAAAACGAGGACTGAAGGAAAGCGATTTAAACTTACATTTTAAAATAAAAGGAATGCTTTCCCAGAAAGAATTTTGTAAGACCTCCAAATGCTTATCGTGGTATTTTTCTCCTCCTGTTTCCCTTTGTCAGTTTCATGCCCCGAAGACAAATGTTATTAACAGTTTCCGGTCAGAGTGTGTGTCATGGAAATAAAGACATTACAGACAATAGTATATTATGAATAAAGGTATTATATTACATGCATTCCATACAAAATACAAATAAAAATATATAAATTATGTACAAAATATATTAAAATTACAAATATGTGATGCTTTGTGACTTACTATTCTTTTTAAATAACTAAAACATTATAGCTGTGGCCTCACCCCATTTTTCCTTTCCTTCCTCCTGAAGTTGATCTGGATCATTCCATGATATTGTACATTTAAGGCATATTGGTATTCATGGAAACACGGCATACATGTACGGACACTTACATTTCTACATGCATCACCATCCTATTCACACCGATGTTTGCATTCTTGCTCAGCACCGTTACTCTGATATCCGTTGATGCGTTCATTCATGTTAACTGCTAGATACACTTGTGCTGCCTAGATAGAGCTAATTTTATCCCTGTACCTACAGAAGTACAGCTTATTTCTACTTTTCTAGAAGGAGGTACTTTATACACATCAGCTTCACACTCAAGGAGTCGGCTCTCTGGATGGACACCCAGACACAGAATATTTCAATAGTAGGATACGGGAACCTTCAGCTTCCCTGACTCCTACTTTTCAAGATGCACCTTCCAAAGTGGTTCTTCATTCACTTTTCAACACACACTTTATTATGTGTCTAGTGTACATTAGGATCTATTCCAGGCACTGGGGATATAACAATAAATGAAAGGGACTTATTTCCTTTTTTTTTCCTGAAGTTTATATTCAAGGCTGGGAAAATAGGCAATAAAAATAAACATAAAACACCAGCCACAAGTGCTTTGAAAATTAAAGTACAGGGGAGCGTGACGGCTTGGATCTTAAAAGACCTCCCTGAAGGCCCACATGACAAAGGCTTGGTTATCAGGCTGTGGTGCTTTGGCAGGTGGTGGGACTTTGGAGGTGACACCTGGTGGGAGGGATTTAGGGTGCCCTAGAAGGAGGTCCTGGGGCCCTTCCCTCAACCCCTTCCCATCTCTTTTGCCCTTCCAAGCTACCATGACAAGTTGCCTCCACCGCATGCTCCCCACGTGGCGTGCCGTGCCCACAGGACCAAGGGACCATGGACTGAATCTTCTAAACACGTGAGCTGAAATAAAGCATTTCCTCCTTGGAAGTTGATTGTCTCAGGTATTGGTTACAGCTACAGGAAGCTCCCACAGGCAGAGAGAACTTTTGGGTTGGGAGTGCTGAGGGAGTGTGCGTGCGTTTTAAGGAGGGTGGTGAGGGAAGACCTGCGTGATAAAGTGAGGTTTGAGCCAAAGCCTGAGGAGATGATGGAGGCCCAGGTGGTCATGCGTGGGAGCGCTCGGGCTGGGGGACAGCAGGTGTAAACAGCTACAGCTGTGGGGGAGAGTGGGAGAGCACGCCTGCGGGCATTTGAGGAATGGCAGCAGCAAGAGTACCCTAGAGGTGGACCGGTAGGGGACCAAAGGAAGGACTTTGGCTTTTAATGGGATAAAACGGGAAGCCATTACTGGGCTGTAAGGAAAGAAGTGACGCGTGGACACTAAAGCAAGGGCAGCAGCCGGAGGGCTAACTAGCGGCTCAGTTTAATCTGGGTGGCTGGTGATGTCTGTGGAGGTGACGGAGTCAGGATGCGCATCGTGTGACTTGAGAGCTGCCAGAGCTGCCAGACGGTGCTGTGCGGTGTGAGAGGAAGAGGAGTCCGGGCTACCTCAGCACTTTGGTTTCAAGCAACCAGACCAATGGTATTGTCGTTCAGTGTCACAGAATAGGGCGGTTTGAACTTTAGAGCCCACGTGGATGTGGAGGAGGGGATGACAGTCACCTCAGATTCTGCAGCCCTGCAGAAGCTGGGTCTGAGAAATAGTCACCATTCACTGCTTCCGTCCATTTCTGTTTCCCACTGGTGATGAGAGAAGAGCTTTCTTCCTTTCTTGATCCGTCTTTCTTTCTTTCTGCCTTTCTTGGTACCAGGGATTGAACTCAGGACCTTGCACTTACAAGGCAGGCGCGGCGCCCCTGAGCTGCATCCCCGGCTTGAGAGAAGAGCTTCAGATGCCTGCAGTGTCTGAGAGCTTCTGTTTCCATCAGTACTCGATGTTATCAAATCTGTGTTCACCAGTCTGAGGGGTTTTCAATGGTCTCATGGCTTTAATTTGTATTATCGTAATTCCAGTGACACTAAACATCTTCATTATGTTCAGGGATCGGATGCAGTTCTTCTTTTGCGGGGTGCCTGCTTTCTTTCCCACAGGAGCTCTTTGTAAGTCTGGAAGTGAATCTTCGGTGGGTTATAGCAGCTGCATACACCTTCTGATAGTCTCTGACTTGTCTTTTCACTCCACTTGTAATCACCCAGTCACTCAGCCTTTCTATCAGGCAGCATAAATAACACAAGAATAATATTCCCATAATCCAGGGACGAAAGCGATTAATACTCTCCTTGCCTCTCTTCTTACCTTCTGATTTATATTCTCATTTTTACTGTATCCTGTTTTGCTGTAGTGTTCTTTTCTTTCACGATAGGGCTCTTCTCTCAAGGTTTGTAACATTTTCATTCTGCATTGTTACAGTAATAATCACAGTTGCTTCTGTGTCACTACCATTCCTTTCTATTTATTTTGAATCACCTCTGTGGATTACACTCACATGTATCACTGTTTGGGAGAAAGAAAATTATCAAATTTTCCTGAATCGTTTCATATTTGAAAATATCTTTCAGCCGCTTTTCGGTAAGAATGGCAGCACAGATTTGATATTTTGTGTCATGCGCCCTCTCCCTCCCCGCTTCAAAACCCTTTCATACCGATTAATGCATGAAGAAGTCTGAGGTTAGCAGAGTCCCCTTCCTGTCAGGAATCACAGGGAATATTCTGTATTGCAGAAGGTATCTTTACACAACTTTCCCACCCTAGTGAAAAGGAAATGACAACACATGGATGTAAATAAAACTTTATTTGCAAAAACAAGCAGCAGACAGGATTTGGACTGTGTGTGGGAGTTCACCAATCGCTGTTTCAAGTGGTTCATTCAGATTTGCTTGTATGATCTCTTTCCTTACATCCCAAGTGTGGTCACATTCCCCAAGTAATTATTCTTTTAATATTTCCTGAAACACGGTCAATCTCTTTAGTCTTTGGAACTGCAAGAAAGTTCTTACACAACATTTAGGACAAAGGCTAAATTCCCATCTAGATACCTTCAACATATCACAATTCTTATATAAAGAAGGGCTACGCCGGGCCTGTGGTCCATGCCTGTAATCCCAGCAGAAGGGACTGAGAATTCAAGGCCACCCTGAGCTACAGCGGGAGGCCCTGTCTCAAAGAAAACAAAACAAAAATCGATAGAACCCAAAACAAACAAAAAAAGACATAGCCACATGGAATGCTTTGTGGTTTTCAGATAACAGCGTAAAGGTAGGCTGTTCAGTCCTGCTACAATAGTTCTGTTTTCTTCGTCAGCTTCTTTTCTGGGTGAAAAGTAGATTTTGGGGGGGGTTCTGTTTTGTTTTGTTTTTGTTTTTTGAGACAAGGTCTTGCTATGCAGTGCAGGCTGGCCTTGAATTCGCTATGTAGCCCATGTTGGCCTTGAACTCACAGTGATCCTCCTGCCTCAGCCTCCTGAGCACTGAAATTTCAGGTGTGTGCCACCACGCCCAGCCAGATATTATTTTTTCCCCCCAATACTGGGGGTTGAGCTGAGGACCTTGCGCTTAGAAGACAGGTGTGGTGCCACTGAACTACAGCCAGATATTCTTACTGAAAGGTTTCCAGATAAAATTTGGGACTCCCAGTTCAAACTGAGTTTTAGAGAAACAAATTTTTAATATGTTTCAGTCATCGTATGAGAGTTATACTAAAAAATTATTTGCTGAGAGACATGCTACTAATTAGTTATTTCTCTGAAATTCAGTTGGAACTGGGCCCTCTTTATTTTTATTTGCTAAACCTGGCAACCTGATGTGCCGCTGTGAAGTGGGAAGGTCTGGGAAGACACAGACCTAGCTGTTCCCAGGAAAAGCCGAGGAGTTACCAGCATTCCTGCCCACGTTTCATGGCCTGCAATTTAGGCTGAGGCCACGCCTAGTTAGAAAGATGAGCTAGGTACGCAAAGCCACGCTGGCTAATCAGGTCCCCAGGTAAAATATCTTCCTACAAAAGTAGAACAGATGTTGGGGACTCGGCATCTGATGCATTTTATCTTTGAAGCTTGTTTTGTTTCATTATTTCTAAACTTTTTGTCAGAGGCCTCAATTTCTCTGAATCGGCTTTTGTTATGTCTTCCATATTTTTCATCTCCTGTCTATTCTTTTAAAAATGTTTTATTTGGGTTTTTCTGAGACGGGCTCTCCTGCTGTAATTCAGGCTGGTCTTGAACTCACTGTGTAGCCTCAAACTCACCGTGATCCTCTTGCCTCAGCCTCTTGAGTGCTGGGTTCACAGGCGTGTGCCAACATGCCCGGTTTATTCCTTTTAATCTCTTCTCCTTTTCCTTTGTATCTGATGTGCTTTTAAATAATTTGTCATCCATCTCACCGTTTCCCGATGGATAGCTCTGTTTTCTTCCTCAGACTCTTTTCTGGGTGAAAGATCGACTTTATTTTCCTCACTCCTTATTTCCAATTCATGTGTTACTTGTGCAGTGCTGTGATTTTCCCCGCTCGGCATCTTCTCACCCCTTTTATATACCTGTTCCTCACTTGTAATGCACAGCAAGTCCCTGACTGAGGAACATCGGAGTTGCGAACTTTCAGTTACCAGCGTACCTCGCGCCTGTAGATGGGAACGAATCGCGGAAGCCGCTCATCTGTCTGCTGGGCACGGTCGCAGTTGTGTGCGGTGCGCCACACCCGCTGCGCCTGAGGAGGAGGATGGAATCCGCCCCCCGTCTTTACTTGTGTATGTATTTATTTATTTATTGGTGGTACCGGGGATCGAAACTGGGCCCTTGTGCTTGCAAGGCAGGCAGCGGAACCACTGAGCCAAATCCTCAGCCCTCGACCTTTAATTTTTAAGCAATGAATTTAAATGACTTCTGGGGCCTGGTGCTCCGGGTTACGAACTCCCACGATTTAACGGGGGAAGTTTTACTGAGCTCACAGTCTGTGGAGGGTTCAGTCCATAGTTCGTTGCTCCGAGGCAGGGCGGCAGGGCTGAGGAGAAGGCAGCTCCCGGAGTGGGGGGTGGGCAGAAAGGGAACTCAAGGGGGGAGGAGGCAGCCAGACCTCCAGGCTGTGGTCCCCCAGCTCCTCCAAACAGGCTTCACCCCTCAGTTCGGCTGTGAACTCCTCAGTGGACCTAGCTACTGCTGAGCATCACGTTTCCACGGTCCCCTCACCTCCCAGAGACTGCCCGGGAGCACGTGAGACTCTGGGAGGGCACATCTGGGCACCACCAGTCACTAGATAAAGACGTTTCGAGAACCTTCTTTCAAAAAGCCCGAATCATGACCACATAACAGAGAAAGAAAACCAGGAGAAAATTTCACTGGTCAATGTTCATTTCAAAAATCTTAAATAAGTAGCAGTACCAGCTTCAAATAATACATGAAGTGTGCCGTGCCAGGGTTTACTGCTTGTATAGAAATACTGCTGAGGCCGGGCGTGGTGGCGCACACCTGTAGTCCCAGCACTCGGGAGGCTGAGGCAGGAGGATTGCTATGAGTTTGAGACCAGCCTGGGCTACATAGTGAGTTCCAGGTCAGTCTCAGCTACATACTGAGACCCTGTCTCAAAAAACCAAAAAAACAGAAATACTACTCAGTATTTGGATTTCTTTCCATTTTGATAGTCAAGATACATGCAGTTGAACCATCCAGTACTCATTCCAAATAAAATTCCTTAGAATTTGGTTTTCCAATTCCTCTCACTAAGTTCAACAACAACGACAACAACCACTCCACACCACACACAGAGCAAACATAAGAAAGCGCTGCGGGGGTGGAGGGAGGAGGCCCAGACTGGACTCCCTCACTCCTGATTCCTCTGGGATTTCCTTCTTCCGGCTTCTCTAACCCACTCTCCGAGCCAGAGCACCGGAAACCTGGGCATAGCCAGCGGTGCTTCCGAAGCTGGCTGTCTCCGACCAAGGACCGAGAAAAGAGCAGGCCGGCGCCAGTGGAAGCCTCGGAACAGTGAGCACCTGCGTGGGGCACCGCGGAAAGCACGGTGGCCTCAGCCACCGCCACTGCCCCCGCGAAGAGCGGGTGGGGTCTCAGGCCGTATTAGCAGCGCCTTTGCCGCACTCCTCACACATCAGTGGGGGCCTTTGCAGGAACCTGGACCTCACCCTTAGCTTGCAATGAAGAGGTGCTCGTCTAACCCCCGGGAGTATCTGGGGAGGTTGGTGGGGATGCAAAGCTCTCGCCACTGCCCACTGGGGATGAAGCTACGCCGTCCAGTGTCAGCGGTCGAGAGGCAGAACTCTCCCCGTACCTGGCAGAAGGAGTCCCTGCGGTTAGCAGAGGCTGGAGGCAGCATCTGCTTCCCCTGCTCCCATGACGGCAGGCAGCCAGCTAACAGAAAGTTCGAATAAGAGCGAGTCACTAACTCAGTACCCCAAATATCTAGGTTTCCCCTGGAACCACTCATCTTGCCAACACCAGGAAGAACTCAAACTAGTCAGCAAGGGGTACTACCAACGTGGCAGGCAGCAAGAGGACAGAGATGTCAGAATGGTCTGACAAAGCAGCTGCCACTAAAAAGGTGATTCAGTGAGCAAATTCTGCCATGCGCAATACAAGCACAGGAAGTCAAAGTTACCAGGATTGAAAGAGACAGCAAAAGTTCTGGTGTTAAAACAGATCAGCTATGCATCTAGAACACCCAGGAGAAACAACTGGCAAAAGTATTTATACTCTAGAAGTTTAGATGGAGACGCAGTTATCAAGTATCTTCAAAAATGGTGCCATCCTTTTAGATTGCCAAGGAGGGACACAGAGAATTCAATAAAGTATGGTTGACCCATAGAATGCAATATCCTGCAGCTGTTCTAAACAGCGTGTAGAACCACATATACATTTTTCTGTAAATATATCTGTGTCAGTCAGGATAGGCCAGATATATGCTCTGCCAACAAACAATCCCCAAAGCTGAAAGGCTTCTTTTGGGCACATTTTACATATCCATTGTGAATCAGCTCTACCTCCCCTCTGCGTATAATCTGAACTGTAAAACTCCAGCTAATGGAAGAGTCTCTAAGTTTGGGCTGGTTTCAGGGAAGAGAGGGTAAAGAGAGGTAGGAAAAAACCACAAGCTAGTTTAGGAAGCTTTTGCTTGGAAATGGTTCGTATTGCTACTCGCACTTAATTGGCCAAAGCTAGTCACGTGGACATATCTGAGCGCAACAGGATGGAAACTGAAAACATTTTCATTTTCTTGGTACACGTTTGCAGTACTCAGTGATTACATTCATTGTGGGGAACTGGTACGTGTTTGTAAACCATCCTAATTATTTTTCCTTGCCCTTCCCATCCTGTCTCTCCCACCTCTGTCCATCTCTGGACTGCCCCCACTCCCCGCCATGCTTTGCTTTTTAAATTATTTATATTTTTGATTTCTGATGGAAAAGCAACCATGAGCTATGAAAGCTGTGTGTCTGATTAATTTCACTTACTGTTATGGTGTCAAGGTGGGTCCATTTTCCTACAAATGATCAAGTTTATCCTTCTTTATGGTAGACTAGTGCTCCATTGTATATAAATACCACATTTTCTTTATTCATTCATCTCTCGATGGACATACAGGCTGTGTCCAAAATTGAGCTACTATAAATTGTGTGGCTACAGTGTAAACAAAGATATGCATGTATCACTGTAATATGCTGTCTTTAACTCGGGAAGATAACTACAAGGGGAACAGCGGGGTCAAATGGAACTTTGAGTTGTTTGAGGAATCTGCATACTAATTTCTACAGTGGCTGTACTAGTTCACATTCCTGCCAACAGTGCAGAAAATTTCCCTTTTCTCCACATACTCACCAACATTTGCCATTATCTGACTTTTTGATCACAGCCATTCTTTCTGGAGAAAGGTAGAATTTCAGAGTTGTTCCATCTTGCACTTCTCTAAGGGGCAGAGATGTTGAACGGCCTTTCACGTGTTTAGTGAGCACTTGTACTTCTGAGAAGTGTCTATTCATTTCAGTTGTCCTTGTTTTGACTGGGTTTTTGTTTGGGGAGGGTTGAGTTCTTCATGTAATTAGTTCCGAATCTGAGAAGTAGTTTGCAAGCCCTTTTCTTCACTCTGTTCATTGTTTCCTTTTTAGAAAATTTGATTTTTTTTTTGAGACAGGGTCTCACTTTGTAGTTCAGGCTGTCCTTGAACTCACTATGTAGCTCATGTTGGCCTTGAACTCACAGTGATCCTCCTGCCTCAGCCTCCCAAGAGCTGGGATTACAGGTGTGAGCCACCACGCCCACCTATATTATATTTTAAATTTAATATAATTGTTATATCCCATTTAATGATTTTTTTCTGTTATTTCTTGTCTGTTCAGAAAGTTTTTGCCTATGCCTATATCTTCCACAGTTTTGCCTATTGTATTTCCCTTCAGATTTGGTGCCTCTGTTTTACTATCTCGGTCTCTGACCCATTTTCATTTTATTTTAGTACATGGAAAGAGATGTGTCTAGATTCAGTTTTCTGACATGGATAACCAGTTTTCCCAGCAGCACTTGTGAAAGAGGCTACCTTCCCTTCAGTGTGTTTTTGGCCCCTTTGTCAAAGATCAGATGGTTGAATGTACCTGGGTTGTTTCTGCATCCGCTATTCTGAGCAGATCCTTTTTGTATAATTCCAAAAAGGTGAAACACTGAGAGCAAGGGAAGCTGTTTCAGGGAATTAGGGTATTCTCTTTGCGAAAGCCCACAGTGTCCTCATGAAGAAAGCTTTTCTGAGACGTAAGAATCTTCCTTGCTCGGTATGCTATCAAAACTATATGCTCTTGGCATTTCCCAGCTATATCTACAAACAGCTTCACCAAGGCCCAGCCAGGTGTTACCTGAACAATAGCAGTCACACTCCCATGATCTCTAGGGACGTCCTGTGGATGGAAATGAGTGTGGGAGAACAAATTCGTCTGCAGTTTCTCTTCTTCCCCCAGAGGCAATCACAGGGGAGCACAGCCCCACAAACAGTCAAGAAAAACTGTCATGGTATTTTTGAGGGGTGCTGGGAATCCAAGCCAGGGCTCGTGCACGGCAGGGATTTCACACCCAGCCTGAGTGGGCTCTTGTGTGAGATATTACCCAAAGCAGGCATTGGCAACCTGAGACAAAATCTGGCCCATCATTTGCTTTTGTAAGTAAAGTTTCATTGGCCCACAGCCATGGCCATTAGTTTCTATACTGCCTATAGCTACTTCCCTGTTTCTGTGGTAGAGTTAAGTAATTGCAACAGAACCCACCAAGCCTAACATATTTCTTTTCTGGCCTTTTGCAGAAAAACTTTGCTGACCTTTTATCTAAAGTCAGGGCTTCTGAGAAGACAACTGCACACAATCAAGATTACCCTTGAAAATCTTTTAGGAAGTGAAGATGAATATGTTCTAGACTAGCATGGACAATGTATCAAGACCACATCTCAAGATAAATACATAAAGTAAATTTTTAAAATTGGGCCACATCATCACTGAAGAATTCAGAACCTTGATACAAACCTGACTCAGAATCTAATTACATTTTTGAAAATGTAGATTCATCAGATCAGGACTTGAACTGATAAACATGACACATTAAATAGCACCTGAATCTGGTCAAATGTATACATTTTCATGCCTCTTACCCGGGGCTGCACGTTCTAATCTTCCAGGAGTTTTGGAAATGCCTGGTACTCAGGCCACCACGGATACAGATCACCTCAGGCTTCCTGGAGGGGGCTTCAGGAAGACTTCCTGCAGGGGACCCCATCCTGCCACTGTGGCTGGGGACCATGTGCTGGGAGGTGAGCGGCAGCTAAGGGAACAGCTGCACCGCGGAGGCTCCGACCCTTGACATTTCAAAAAGCGTGAAAGGCTTGTGTCTTGCTGTCTTCTGTTCTTGAGCAGAAGGCACTTATGAGTTCTTATTTGGTCCCGAAATGTGAGCCGCTCTGCTCAGACTTCATTAAGGAAAGTGTGGGCGATGTCACCACGGAGTCTCTCTGGCCATCTGGCCTCTAACAAGAAGTTACTCTGGTTTTGTAGAAAATGAAAGAAACGGGGTGAAGTGGGAAGCAAGACTTATCCAAATGGCTGTGATCTTTCTGCGTGATGTAAGATTCCCCCCTTCGCTCTTATTTCCATGGGACGTATTTCTAAAGCTAAGATTTTTTTTGCATTGTGACTTTTATATTAAGAAATAAGTAAACTAATACTTCAAAGGCTTTACTGAAAGCACGTTGCTCAATATCTTATTTTCACAGAGAAGAATGTGTAAGGCCAGTCAGCGGACATTTGGAATGAACACTGAAGCAATATTAAAGCTGAAAAAAATGTACACAAGACTTGCCTGCTACAGGACAGAGTCGCAAGATCACGCGGACGGGGAAATGGCCTCTGAAGATGTATTTTGAGGTAACGCCACAGAACCCAAATCTTCCTAACCCCCGCGCCTTCTGTTTTATTAGCTGCTGTTAGATAAAGAACATTGCCTTAGGATGCAGCGGTCTGAGCAACACTGAGCGAGCCCAGCTTCCACTACTAAATCTCAGTGTGTTTTGCAGAAGTCGTCTCGGTGTCTCTGTCTCTGTCCCTCTCTCTTCCATATTCCCAGCAATATCTAAAAGTAATTACTCATCAAAATTGGTACTCAAGTCCCTTAGAATGGCGACTAGCAACAAAGAAACAGACACAGAAAACGACGGGCGTTGGTGAGGGTATGGAGAAACTGGAATTGTTGTGCACTGTTGATGGAAAGGTAAAATGGTACAGATGGCAGGGAAATGACAGAGTTTCCTCAGAAAATTAGAACCGGAGCTGGGCATGTCTCTCAGTGCTAGAGCACTGCACTGCATGAAGCCTTGGATTTGATTTCCAGAACTGAAAAAAAGAAAGAGAAAAAGTTCAAAATAGAATCGCCATGTGATCTAGCCACCACATTACTGGCTGTAGACCCTAAAGAACTGAAAACAGGGACTTGAATGGATATTTCAACACCATTTCATAGCAACATTACTCATGAGAGCCAAAAAACAGAAGCAACCCAAGTGCCTACTGATGGATGAAGGGGCAAACATCTTTTTTGAGACACACATACACACACACAGAAATATTATTAACCTTTTAAAAAGGAAGAAAGCTGGGTGTGATGGCACACTCCTGTAATCCCAGCACTGGGGAGGCTGAGGCAGGAGGATCACTATGAGTTCAAGACCATCCTGGGCTACATAGTGAGTTCCAGGTCAGTCTCAACTACATAGTGAGACCCTGTCTCTAAAAAAAAAAAAAAGAAATTAATTCTTACAGATGCTAAAACCTAGAGAAACCTGAAAGACATGAAGTGAGATAAGTCAGTCACAGGACAAATGCTATATGATCTCACTTATGAAGCTCCTAGAGTAGTAAAATTCACAGGGACACAAGGCAGAATGGTGATTTCCACAGGATGTGATCCTTGGGTGGTGGTGGGAGCAGCAAGTTACTGCCTCGTGGATACACAGTTTCAGTTTTGCAAGATGAAAAGCTCTGAAGATGGTTGTACTAATGGTTGTACACATGGCCTTGAATTACATATTACATGTAGTTAAAAGGGTAAAATTTACAGAATATGTGTTTCACAATGATAAAAATTTGCAAGTGCTGTTTTTAAAGGAAAAAGTACTCTATCATTATTATTATGTAGTAGTAGCCGGGATCAAACTTGGGACCTTGCGCTTGTGAGGCAGCTGCGGCAGCACTGAGCTAAATCCCTGGCCCAAAAGTACTCTATTATTCTCTTTTGGTGATTCTGGGGACTGAACTCAGAACCTTGTACTTGCGAGGCAGGCAGGGTGCCGCTGAGGTCATCCCGGCCCCTAGAAAAGTCCTCTGTTAGCCCCAGGTTCGTCCCACTTGCCTGATAACTTGCAGCTATTACCATCAGCCAGCAGCCACTTGCCTGGAGATGATGCAGCCCCCAGCTGAAAGCACGAGGCTTCTCCGTGGTTCTCTTCACAGGCCCCTGTTTTCAGCTCAATCCTGCGCACTGTTCCTCCTGCTAACTGATTTGGCCTCGACCCAGGGTGCCTTGGCGTTTCAAAGATCTGAAGAGACGTAAGTAAAGGGCCCAGCAAGCCTTCTGCCTGTGAGCTTGTCCTTCTGGCCCTTTCACTGATGGCTAAGGTCCCTTTACCTGCCAAGAATACCTACTCTTGTCCTTTTTCCTTCAAACTTCATGCTATACTGTTTTTTCTTTCGGTTCATTTATGATAGACTGAAGGTATAGAAAGGCTGAATATATGTAAACAAATCTATCAGTAATCATCACCATAATCTTCTACTTTTGGTGCCATTCATAGAAATTATATATGTTATATAAATTCTATATAAATAAGTAAATATTTTAAACCTGGAATTCTTTTCCTAAAGAACTGCTTTCAATATTTGTGTTATTTCAACATCATACTATCAAATATTTAG